GGATATTTACAAGAAGCATCAAGAAACTTTCCCTAAAGACTAGCAAGGAAATTAACCCCTACAGGAATTAAAATATACCGTAAAGCAATTTTAATTAAGAGTGTGGCACCGGCACAGGAATTAACAGATAACTTAGTGAAACTGGGTTGCACACTCAGGAAGAATTTCAAATACGCATGGGAAATATATTATGAAAGTCCTTTGGTTTAAATCTCAACTCTTCTACTTCTTATGGCTATAACCATGAAAAAAGTATTTGTTATGTTATATCTCCTTGAATAATTGGCCACTGTATCATTGTCTAATGTAATGTTTCTATTTATCCATTAATAGTATTGCTTGTTCTGATTTCTACCTTGTGTGCTATCAACAAAACTACTCCAACTTTTAACAAATAAAATAATAACCTAATCTTCAACTTTAACGTAACTTCCTCATCTTTTTACTTTTAGGAGCTCTATACCTTTATTTTTCTTTCTTTCTTTCTTTTTTTTAATGCCTACAGCACCTGGTCTTCCTAGGTCATCTCTCATTCAAGTACTAACCAGGCCCGACCCTGCTTATATATCTTTATATATAAAGTGGGTTTCTTGAAAATAGCATATACTCGTGTCATGCTTTTTTTAAAATCCATTTTGAGAATCTCTGACTTTTAACTGAGACATTTAGACTACTCACATTTAAAGTCATTATTTATTGGGTTGGATTCAAATCTATATCTCACTATTTTTTATTTCTGCCATCTTTTTTTTTTGTTGTTTCTACTCCCTTCTGCCTTCACTTGGGTTAATTGAGCATTCTTATTTAATTTTATCTTTTCTATTTACTCATTGTATATACCTTTAAAAAGGTTTTTCAGCTGCTGCCCTAGGGTTCATAGTATACATTTTAATTAACATCAGGCTCCTTTCTCATAAAAATAGACCATTTCCCAATGTTCCTTTGAAGTCGAAGCTATTTGCAACAACATAGATGGAGCTTGAGGGCATTATGCTAATTGAAATAAACTGGGCAGAGAAAGACAAATACTGCACGGTATCACTTATATGTGGAATCTGAAAATATAAAGCTAAATTCATAGAAACAGATTGAAAAAGTGGTTACTGGGGGCGGGAAATAGAAGTTGGTAAAAGTACAAGCTTTCAGCTCTAAGATAAATAAAGTCTGAGGACCTAATGTAAAGCCTTATGGCGATTGTTGATAACACTGTATTGTATAATTAATATTCGCTAAAAGAGTAGAACTTAAATGGTCTCACACACAAAAAAGATAAGTATGTGAGGTGATGGATGTGTTAATTAATTAGATGGTGGAAACCTTGCACGATGTATAGCATATCAAATCACCATGGTGTACAACTTTATATGTCAGTTATATCTCTGTAAAGCTGAAGAAAAAGAAACAAAAAGAACAATGCACTATTACTTTGTAATTAAAATATTTAAATGCTCCTCAACAGAAATACTAGCAATGTACTGTGTTACTAGTTAATGTAACTGCTGGCTGATGCAACAGACAAAACTTAGAATTGGCTGGCTTTACACAGCAAAAATTACTTTCGTTCACATAAATTCTGATGGCTGATGGCCGATGGCTGTGGGCAGGGTCTTTCCTCTCTCAGGTGACCCGGGGATCCAGGCTGCTGCCATGCTTTTGCTTCACCATGGAAACACAGGATGGCCATGTTTGCTGCTCAGTGGAAGAGAAAGCTCACTGGTTTCTGTCTAAGGACACACTGTCTGGCAATGCAGTTTTCTCCTTTGTCCAAGAAAAAGAGAAATATAAGATATGGATGAGTACTTGAAGTTTCTCCTATAAGCTGTCAATTGTAGTTCTCAACCAAATTAACGATTAGGGTGTGTTATAACAACGCTCTTCATTTCTTGGAGGAGTCCAGAGAAAGCTAGATTTACTTTCACAGCCTCTAACTTTTTAAGTGCCTACTACATGACGGGTGCTTTCAAACCTAGGATCATACCTGGTTTTCAAAGGAGCATGTAAATGTCAGCAGGGAGAATTTGCCATTCTTCACTCAATAGCACTTTTCTGCACTGCCCTTTGCAATAACCTCTATAATCTCAGTAGGCTGAAATTTTTCTCCTTTCTTTTGATGCATGGTCAAAATTTGAACTTGTGAGCCTCTGCTACTGTCCACATGAGTGAACACGCCTGAACACCTGCACAGGTGCCATTAGGCAAACTGAAAACCAGGGTTTTCTTGTGGGGAAGGTACACAGACCAAAGGCAATGGAAGGATATGCTTTTCTTTTTAAATCAGCGTTAGCATGTCCACTAAAGAAACGATTTTCAACACCTAGGAGGATTCCAGAGTTTTAGGAATTCAGTTTTAGTAGATGTTTGCTCCACAGTGATTTCCGTGGTCTTTCTTCATCTACCATTTATAAGGGAGCTTTTGTTTTATTTACCTGCGTGGGTGAGCTCATTCACCTGTGTATGTGTTCACTGACCAATTTCAAAGAAGACATCTCATTAAAATCCTACTGCAAATATCAGAGTGGTTAAAAAAAAAATCTCTAATTTCAGGGTTATAGTCCCCAAACCAGTAGATTATGTGCCTAGTCAGGCTCTACTCACCAGCCCTTTTGGAAAACACTTGGAGAGGTTAAAGATGCCAAGGGGGTGGGTGACCAGGCGTCTGAACGTCAGTGTCCAATGTGAACCTTTAAGTTGAAGGGGCAGAGAGGTTCCAGGAGGGATGGGACAGGAAGGGATCTTCTGCAAGTAGTAGGAATGCTTTATGTCAGGGGAAGGGCAGGCGATTCTAGGCTATTCCATTGGAAGTAGGGCACCGCCTTCAGAGGAACATGTAGTAAAGAGCTGGTAAGCCTGTCAGGTTCCAGAGTTGGACAGGGTGGCATACAGGGGAAGACCAGAGGAAGGTTGCTATAAATCAGAAAAGTACTGGAACCAGAAGAAATACAGAATCAGCTCTAGAGGAACGCTAGACTTGGGCAGGAGGACCCCAGGTTAATAAAGCCCACAGGCAGTACCCAAATCATGTTTGATTCACAATGACACCTTCTTTCTTTAGACCTGCTTTGAGTATCCTGATACAGAGACCTTTTTGTGTATGTGGCCTGAGAGACATTATGGAGATCTGACACGAGAAGTTAATTAAGAGATGGAAGGTCTGCCTTAGGCTAGGAACAATATGGACTTCAGATGAATTTAGATCAAATGTCCAGTCTCAGCCTGCCACTTACTAGCCATGTGATCACAGGGAAACCATCAAGTGCTCTGAGCCTCAGTTTTATCCTCTGTGAAGTGAATTTGATAAGCCCTGTCTTGCGGAACTGTTGGCATGTATGTATGTAAAGCCCCTGACACAGTGCCTGGCATATATTGGATCTTTAATGAATGGTGAGGAATCTGGCTTCTGGTTAAAATCCCTAATATGTGCTTTTTCAGGTGTGAACATAGGCAATTACAAAGGCTTTACCTGGCAGGCCTCCTAGACAAAGCCGCCCTCCCCACCTCAGACTGGACAACCTGGAGTGCAGTCTCCGAAGGAGGTGGCAGTGAAAGACTGAGGCCCTTCTGGCAGGTTATTCTCTGCTCATACGTGCATTCCTAGCCTCTGTGCTTTCATTCCCAAGTGTCTTCATCTGAGACCTTGGACAGAGGCCTCCTTATATGGAGAGAAGGAGGAAACCTTGAAGATACTTTTCCCAGCTATTTTTCCACTGCTAGCCCTTCCCCCTTTTCTTCCTTTGATTCCAGGATCCCTAAAATCATCAGAGCCGTTTGTTCTGGCTCCGTCAACAGTGAGGTGACCGCCAGATCTCTGCTGATCCACCTGACCCTCACTGGTGAGCTGTTCCATGGAGGAAAATAAAACAGGAGGAATCAGCACTGTCTCCTGTTTTACATTCTTGCTTTTATCATCACAGGAAGTGATCAAAGGTTTAAGTCTATTGCATTTGGCCTATTGCTTCAATCAGCGACTCTGACACCTGGCAGCTTAGCTCTCACTCCAGCTCAGCAGAGCTCCTGACAATGGTAGTTATTTCTAATGTTGTTTTGACCTCAGAATCTACCACCCTCTCCTCTGGGAATGTTTTCTTATCCAAGATCTCTCTGAGAATAAGCAGCGACACTAGACACTAGATACCAAATCAGCCAAAAATGCTGCTTCATAAATAAAACTCTCTTAGAGAATACATTATTTAATTTGGATGTGAGTTAGTCTTCTCCAGCTGGATTCAACTCAAAACTCCTAGAATTCATGTTGAAAACCTACTCTTTCCTTCCTTCCTGGCTGCTGTCCCATCCAAAACACTATTTTCATTCATTTAGCTACGAAAAATCTCATCCTTGCTTACAGTTGGCCAAAATGTATTCAAGATAACCTAATTATAATGCCATTTTTTAATGGAAAGGCTCTGGCTTTCCCAGGTCAATGAAAAGGGTGCCAGCCTAGTGGTTTCTGGGCATCACTTCAAGGGAATATCACACTATTTTTTTTTAAAGGAAATCCTTGCAGATGATGTGTCTAAAATACCTAATTCAACCAAACTGGGTTTTTACAAGAGTTCAGGACACCTTCCATAGCTGTCCCAGGTAGAGATTTCTCTGTGGTTTATCCAAGACCCAAAAGTAACTGCTAAATTCAGTTTTCCATTTTAGACTTTTCTCTCAACTGTAAGACACACCATTTTAGGGTCTGGCACCTGCCACCACTCAGCTTCGCTGCAATCAAATCCCACAGAAGTAATCTGAGTTTCCCCAAGCCTCAGACTGTCTTGGCTAAGGGCACTTGTATTTGACTGCTTGCATCTGGAGTCCCACCGCCTCTCCTCCTTTTACCTCGTTAGCTCTTAGAAGACATCTCATCATCATCCTGATGTGATTGCTGCTCCTAGCCTTTACCATTCCATGGGGAGTGGTGTGTCCTGCTGATCCTAATGCCCCAACCGCTAACACAGGGCCTTCTGAAGAGCAAGCACTCAATTCATGTTTGGGGAATAAGTGAGCCAGTGAGAAAGAGATTTCATTTAAGATTTAATTTCTCCTATATTCTTGAATAAGCCAAGCAAATATATATAATTTAATTTTACAGAATGACAGACTAAAAGGAATAAATGAACCTCAAAATTACCCAACCTTTATGTTTTTTTTCCTCTGTTCCTAGAAACCTTATATTTTACTGCTGGGTTCTTTCACATTTCCAAGGAAATTCCTATTCTAATGCCATGTTATCTTGTTCCAGATCACAAAAAAAGGGTGATTTCCCAACTTCTTTTGCAAAATTGCAAAACTCTTATTCTTAACCCCGACAAATGGCTATAAATGTGTGACCACTGTCATTCATAAACTTAGATTCTGAAGCTAATTAAACTTTTTATTACAAGGAACGACATTTGAAAACAAACAGACAAATAAACAAAAAGATAAATCTCCAAATCACTCATATTGAAAAGGAACACAAAGATGTTATAACGTACTGTGTTCCCTCCAGATCCAGCCTGGCCCTCCACAACTTAGATCTTTGGCCGTTGTCTTCCAATGAAGAGTGAAGAATCTTCTTCAGACTTCACTCAGGGCAGGAGAAGCTGCTGGACATGACACTGGAACTTACACTGGCCATGGCAGTAGTATCATCCACGGCAACTCCAGCTTGGGCTCGCTCTCTCTCATCTCTCAAAGCTTCTTCATACCAGTAAGGGAAGGAAGCGGGGTCAGTCCCACTGATCTTGGCAAAAAACTGCAGGACTTTCATCTTGGTGGTTTCAGCGTGGGCCCTGGGACCCCACAGGAACTCGTAGCGAGCAGGATCGCTGTTGGGCACCTGCCTGTACTCCAGGTACTTCTCCTGCACTAAATCTTTGGTGATGAGCTTCCTGGGCTCTCCATAGATGAAATCTTTCTTCCCAGCAAACACTCCCATCATATTCAGCACTTCCCAGATTTTTTCCTCAGGGGCACGGTTGCCCTCCATGAAGATTATGCCCAGGATAAGTATCAGGAGGCCAGTCTTGGGCATGCCTTGGTCATCACTCAGCATCCCATCGTAGGTGAGGTCTAGTGTTTTGACGAGCACGTAGGAATGGCTGGTGGGGTCCATTTCCTTCACTTCAATGCCAAAGACAACCTCCATGCACTCACAGACTTTCTTGAAGACCACAGGGAAGTGGTCCCTGTGCTCTTTGAGGATGCTTTTCAGCATTTCTGCCTTCGTGATGGGCTCCTTTGTTATATACTTTTCAGTCAGGAACTGCACCAATTCAGCCACCTTCTTGTGTAGCACATCAGTGAGCAAGGACTCGGGGTGTGCTGGAGGCTGCGGGGTGCTGGGCCCCTCCTCTTCTTGGCTTCTGGAGCTCTCATCAGATTGACTCGATGGAGTGGCTATTATGGCAGTGGGGGAGGAGCAGGCTCTCTGGGAACTCTGGGGAACACTTGGCATTCCAGCAGCAGGCATCGCCTCTGGGGTGCCCTGGACCAGAGGAGAGAGAGAGGAGGAGGTGGTGGTGGTGGCTTCCTCCTCAGCCATGGGAGCCTGCAAACTTTCCAGGCCTTGTGCCTCTCTTGGGTCCTGAAGGTCTTCCTCAAGCTTGCAGTGCTCGCTCTTCTGACTGTGAGACATGACTTGTGTTGTGGGCAGCTGGCAGGAGGGTGGGCGATTTGAACTCACAGACCTGAGGGAGAGAGGGAGAGTGTCAGTGACCTTAGCTGAGAAACTCACCCATGATGGCTCTAACAAAGGCAACTCACAGGTCTCCTCTTTAGGGGTGCTCTTGGTTCTCAAAGGGCTCCTGTTCTTCAGGTTGACCTGTCTCCTAAGAACTGAAATAGCAAGTGAGATGGCTCCTCAGGGTGTATGTAGCCAGCCAATGCAGCCCAAGGATTCCAAGACTGAGATTAGGGAGACTAGGGTCACGTACTATGGGGTCTTTCTGTTCTGGGGTGAGTGGTACCCTTGGTAGACATTTAGGGTGTGCACCTCACCTTGACTTCTGGTACTGCCCAGGCCTCCTCTGATATGCTGTCTTGAGGACACGTGCCTCAGACCAAGTGTAACTGCACACAAACTTCATTTCTTGAATATACCTTTTTTTTCTCTGATTCAAGCTGGTTTTGCCCAGATAACGGCATTGTGACTCACTTGTTCCCCCCTCCCATCCTCTCTCTGTATGCCTGCTCCTTTAATCATTAAGCCTCAGGACATAAGATTAACTGAGTCTCAGGATTATCATGAGGACAATAGGTTTCTGTTGGACTTTTCACTAAGGATAACATCTTGGCTTTAGATGTGTTTCAGCTGCAGGCTGATCTAGGCAGAACAAAAACCCACCAGGCAGAACAACAGCCCCACCAGGCCAAGGGACCAGAAGGGATGTCAGGGTGGCTGATTCCACAATAGAACACAATTATCAATGACCTCATCCTCCTCCAACTGTCAAATCGGTAGCACCCACTACCCTAACTCTCAGTTTCCATGATGACAGATTTTCCTTTATATAATCTTTACTCCCGGGACACCTAGGGAGCCAGGCCCTTGAGTGATAGCTCACCTGTGTCTCCCGGACTTGCAGCTCTAATCAATCTTACTTTTTTTGTTGCAAAACCTGCACCTATCTCTTCTTTGGCTTAGACGCATGCAGGCAGACGGACCCCTTTTTTGTCCCAGTAACACAAGGCCCTCACCTCCCAGTTCCTAGAAGAACTGAGGGGATACCTCGAAATGCAGACTATAGGCACAGTTCTGGGTCCCCCGGTGCTGACAGGAGGAGTAGGGCCAGACTCTGATGTCCCCACTATTCTGAGTTAGATGGTTCTTCCAATGCTCAGACTCCTAATCTTTCCCCTGCCAAGACCTGGTCCACACCACTCTACTTACCTCCTGACTTCCTAAGGAGAAAGTGAGGGGCCACCACACCTAGGCACACTTGCCTAGGGCTTTCCTGGGCTGATAGCAGGGGTCCCCATGGGTTTCGGTGGGGCCTCTTTTGTCTAGGGTAGGAGGGCCCATTATGATTAATCTTTACTCCTGACAGGGCCTGCTCTAGCCCCCACCTCAGCTGACCTGACATGTATCCTCAGATTGAAGCTTCCACTCTCTGAGAGGAACCACCCCACCCCCACCCCAGTGGTGGAAGTGATCACTTACCACAATGGCCCATCTCTGCTTACTGTTTTCCAGGTATGACAGCATGGACTTGGGCCCATGTGTTCTGGGGTGGGGATACCCTCAGTTCTCCCTCAGGATATTAAGTGCTACATCTAGCAGGGCCTCAACCCACCCTTACCCCACCTCACCTGCTTTCTTGTCTTCAGACGTCCCTGAGACCACCGAGACAAAATTGAAAAGATGCCACATTCAGCTACTCCTTGCCCGAGTTCTCCCCTGGCTGGCAGCAGGAGCAGGGCGTATCTGTGAGATGCCCTTTCTGGAGTGGGGAGGTACCTTAAACCCTTTTCAGTAGAGTCACAACTAATCTACATTCTGCTGACCTGAGAAGGCCCCCCTCAGGCCATGGCCTTAATCTTCCTGAAAACTTGTCAAAAAAGGCAGAGGCTTGAGGGAGGTGCTTCTGCCTCATAGCTTTGCCCAGCGCTAACAGCAGGAGTGAGCCAGGTGTCAGGAGGTGGGGCCCTCTCTGAGTACACAGAAAAGTTTCATTAATCTTCCTTCAGGGTCCTCACTGTGAAGCTTGCCCTCCCTCAGAATTCTCACTTTGATGCTTGGCAAGGCCTGGAATTTCTCTTCCTGCAAATCCCTGATCCAGGAATGGGGGAGAGGAAATGCTTATCCTCCCAGCACTGAGGGGGGTCTCAACAGTTGACAGCAGGAGTCAGAGTGAATTTCTGTGGGGATTTCTCTGATTCAGAGCAAGAGGATGTCTCAGTCCTCCACAAGGGATTCACATTTACTCCTGACAGGGCCTGGCACCCCTTCCTGAAGGTTAAGGCCTCCATCTCTCTCCTTCCCCAACAGGCAAGTGGGGGTGGGGGTGCTTTGTCTGTCAACCGTGCTTGGAGTCTCACAGGGCTGACAGCAGAAGCTATCAGCAGGTTCATCTTGATGCACCCTCTGTCTATGGTGGGAGGTTTTTTCAGGACCCACTTCTTGAGGACTGGCAGAATCTAAGACTCTTCACTTTACTGACCTGAGTCTCATCACCTGGATTGAAGCCTCATCTCCTTCAGACCCCAAAGTTCTGGAAACACTACATCCAAGGATAGAGCCTCTGCATAGGGCCTCCCTGAGCTGAAAGCAGGCTCAGAGTGGGCTGGGGCTCCTTCTTTCCGACCGTGGGAGGTCAGTTTAGTTGTCCCACAGGATTGTCACTTTGACTCCTGGAAGTGCCTGAGCCTCTCTCCCTTGGTGAACCAGAATCTGTCTCCCTCTAACTAGGCTGATCACCTCTGAGTCCCCAGAGTTGGGAATGTGGGGGAAGGGTTATTTATCCTGACAGGCCTGCCAAGTCTCCCGGGGCTGACGTCCTGGGTAGAGGGGGATTCTGTGGAGCCCACACTGTTCTGAGATGTGTATAAACCTCTCAGTCCTCATTCACGAAGATGCTCATCTTGGTTCCTGGCTCCTTGATTAAATGCTGTCTGGGAGATTCTGCCCTCTCTGCCAGCTGGGTGCATTTGCCCAACTGCAACTCTTTCAGAGAAAGTTTTGGTTCCCAGGCTAAATGCTAAGTGGGAGAGCAGCAGCGGCCGTGACAGGTGGTAGAGATTCAGAAAAGAAGCCTACATTCCTATGGGGTCTCTTCACCCATAGTTCATAGGCTTTGGAAATGTTTTCTTCCGTTTATTCTCTGCACTGAAGTAGCTGAATAGCGCGATTTGGGAAGTCCCTGCTCCTTTGAGGTTATCTAACACTGCATTGTTCAGTACAGTAATTTCCTTTTTTCTTAAGCCTCGCTGATATTAAGGAATGCATTTTACATCTCTACCAAGCGTGGGTATGTCTGGTTCACCCTGATGCTCACTATTGCATTTTCACTCCATTCTTTTTATTTTATTAAAATACATTTTTTAAAAGGCCAGGCTTTATCACTAAAGTGGTTTCAGGTGGTTATTAACATGGACTCTGGAGTCACACAGCATCAATCCAGCCAATCTTTCCTGACATCTGATACTACGCCTGGGCTCCTGGCATCTTTGGTCTGAGGTGAAGCAGGGTCAGAAGTTTTAAAAGTTTACTCCTACCTATCCTGTCATTTGCCATCCATTACAGGCTACAGACCCTCCTAAACTTCAGTGCTGCCTCCCATTTCCCCATCAGAAATACAAGTACCAGTTCAACACAGGATTTTCTCATTGTCTGCTATTTAGATTTTGTTGTTGATATTTTCAGTAAACTGAAATATGCATCCCCCCCTCTGCCACCCCAAGATATCATATCCTAGTTCCTAGAACCTATAAAATACTGCCTTCTTTGGAAAAAGGCTCTTTGTAGATGTGATTAATTTAAGACTCTTGATGGGGGGATTTTTCTAGATTATCCAGGTGGGCCCTAAATACAACCATTTGTATACTTTTAAGGGGGAGGCGGAAGAAGAATCGACAAACAGAAGAAAACGTGAACTTGGAGAACAGAGATATTTGAAGATGCTGACCTTGAAGATTGCAGTCATGTCGCCCCAAGCCAAGGAGTGGCAGCAGCTACCGGAAGCTGGAAGAGGCCAGGAATGGATTCTATACCCCAGAGTCTCCAGAGAAAACGCGCCCCTTCTGGCACCTTGATTTCAGCCCAGTGAAACTGATCTTGGGCATCTGGCTTCCAGAACTGTAAGAGAATAAATTTCTGTTGTATAAGCCATGGTATCGTGGTAGTTTGATACAGTAGCCCCAGGAAACTGATACATCATTATTCATTTTCATTCTTTCTTCTACTGTTTTCCAGGGTTGATTTTGGGAGTAAAAGGCAGCAGCACAAACTTCATTGTCATTTTGGCAACTGCAGGTAGGGCACTAAATCTGTATATAATTTAGGAGAATTGACATGTTTACAATGTTTTGTTTCACATTAGTGAATATGGCACACTTCTATTTATTTGGGACTTCTAAAAAAATCTACATCCATCAGTAAACTTTTATGTATGTCTCTATGAAAAGCTCATATATTTTGTGATTTGAAATTCCTCTTAAGTAACTTTGGGTTTGTTGCAGTCGTGAATGGGATATTGTCTATTACATGTTCTAATTTGTTATTGTTTTTGTGTGGCAAGGCTCTTTGATTTAACTATATTGACCTCCCATACACTATTTTTCTGAACTCCCTTATTTATTCGCATATTCCACAGACTTATTCCTTTTATTTTTCTAGATAGATAGTTGTATTGTTACCAGATAGTAACTCTTTCTTTTCAATATTCATATATCTTACTTATTTTTATATCCATATCTCTGGCTTTATGTTCCAGTGCAGTTTTGAACAGTAGAGGTGAGAGTATATATCTGCCTTGTTCCTGACTTGAATGACAATGCTTCCAACATTGCTGTAGACTCAGGGGTCCTCAACCCCTGGGCAGTGTACCGGTCCTATTCTGTGGCCTGTTAGGAACCAGGCTGCACCATAAGAGGTGAGCAGTGGGGGAGGTGAGCGGTGGGGGAGCAAGCGAAGCTTCATCTGTATCTGCAGCCGCTCCCCAGCACTAGCATCACCACCTCAGCTCCATCTCAGATCATCAGGCATTAGATTCTCATAGGAGCACTGGTCTCTGGTGCCAAAAAGGTTGGGGACTGCTAGTAGAATTTAGGAAAAGGAAGTTCCCTTCTATTCTTAGTTTGGCATAACTTTGTACTATGAACTCATGTTGAATGTCTTTCAAAGGTTCTTTCTCCTCTAATTTGTTAATGTGGACAATTACAATTCAATGTATTTTCTAATGTTAAGTCATGTTTTCATTTCTTGGGCACAGCCTGTTTGCTTATATAATTTACTGCTGTGTTGACTGCTATTTCATTTAAGATAGTTACTGCTTTGTGAATGAGCTTGGCTCAAGTGTTCTTTTCGTGGGGGTCGGGGCTGAGGTCTTCATTTGGTTTTTGAATCGAGGAGAGCTGGCTAGGGATGCTTTGGAAAAGTTTACGAAAAGCTAGCAGTTAATTTTTCCTGGTCATTTGGTAGAAGTTGCCTCCAAAATAATCTTGTTCTGGACATTTAAGAGTGTCTTGAATTGTGAATAGTTTCCATGTGTATTTTGAAGTTCTTTTTGTAGATCAATTTATTTTTTTTCTAAAAAGTAGTCCCTTTTGTTTAGGACTTCAAAATTAATGGCATGATATTTATAATAAAAAGTATTGCAGAAACTCCCAAACTTATAGACCAATTGACAGAAGAACACAATGAGCACCATACGCCTGATATTTAGCATCAACAATAATTAATTCTTGGCCAATGTGTTACCACCTATCCCCCCACAAACCCCCACCCTCCATTTCTGCAAATGAAATAATGTGAAGTAAGTTCAAGGCATCACACCTAAGTATTTCAGTATCCATTTCTAAAAGATAAAGAATCTTTTTAAAAGCATAAACTTGATAGAATTATTAGTCCTAAAAATCTTTGTTATAGATTTCCCCCATATCACCGCTTTCCCTTTGCATTAAAAAAAAAAAAAAAAGTCTCGTGTTTTGTCCTATTTTCCATAGTCTGGATTTTGCTGACTGTGACACTTTGGTATCCTTTAACATGTTCTTCAGGTCCCTGCATGTCTTTAAATTGGGAGTTAGAGTTAGAATTAGTCATGGGAATATTTATGCCATGAAAATTGGCAAATACTATAAATCAGAACCCCTTTCTTTTCTTCCTCCCTCCCTTCCTTCCTTCCTTCCTTCCTTTCTTCCTTCCCTCCCACTCTATAGGTGATGCTATGTACCTCCATTAGGAGGTATATAATGCCTGGTTGTCTCTTTTTGTATTGATGGTAGCAGTCACTGATATCACGACCTTTATTAATCTTTTAGGGGTCATAGAATGATCACCCTCTCATTTCTCCTTAATTAGCTGAGATATCTCTATACAGGCATGCCTCAGAGATATTGTAGGTTTGATTCCAGACCACTGCAATAAAGCAAATCATAATCTTTGTGTTGGTATAGGGTCTTGCCTTCAATTTGTAAAAAAAATGCAACATCTGTGAAGCATAATAAAATGAAGTATGCTTCTCTGTAGAAACATTTTCCTGTCCGTAGTTTGATTATCCTGAAGGGAACTTATTGTGTTCCATTAGATTAAAATCTTTGCTGCATCTCAATTTTGTACAAATTTACTTGTATGTTCCTGTTTTTCTTTTTAGTAATTGATTGTATTTGCAAAAATGCGTATAAGTAGGTCTAAAGCGATGGCTTGTATTAGTTGGCTCAGCTGTTTTCTATTTCATTATTTCTGCATTTATTTTTGTTGTTTCCTGGTTTCTACTTCTTTAGGTTGAATATGCTATTTATTCAGTAGCTTCTTGAATTGGTTGGCCGTTTAAATATTTCTTATTTTCTAATATATCTATTTAAAATTATACATTTCTCACTGAATACCGCTTGAGCTTCATCACACAGTGTTATAGCTTCATGTGCATCTCTTGAATATTCGACAAGTTGAGCATGTCATTCTTACTTATGCTTTTAGAAATTATATTTTTGTTCTCTTAACAATGTATTTCACAGAGTAAGAGATTTTAATTTTGATGATGCCCGATTTATCATTTTTTCCCCTTCTATGCATTGTGCTTTTGGTTTCAAGTCTAAGAACTTTTTGCTTAATCTGGGTTGCAAAGATCTCTCTTTTCTAAACTTTTTTATTTTACATTTTATATTTACTCCTATGATTTGTTTTAAATTTATTTTTGAATGAAAATTGAGGTGCAAAGGTTTATTTTTACCATTCATAGAAAAGACCTTTCTTCCTCCATTGACTTGCTTTTGAACCTTTGTCAAAATGTCATGGGCATTTTTGCGTGGCTCTATTTCTGTGCTCTTTGTTCTGTTACATTCATCTATATGTCTATTCCTTTGCTAATACCACATTGTTTTGATTACTGTAGCTTCAATCAGATCTCTTAAAACCGCATAATGTAGTCTTTCCCACTTTCTTCTTTTTTTTACCCCCAACATTGTTTTATCTACTCTGGGACCCTTTACCTATCCATATTAATCTTAGAATCAGTTTATCTAGATCTATAAAAATCCTGTTGGAATTTTGATTGGAATCGTGTTCAATCTATAGATCATTTCGGAGAGAGTAGATATTTATTATTTTGAATCTTCCAATCTATTAAATTATATCTCTTCATTTATGCGAGTTTTTCTTTTATTTCTTTCATCAATGTTTTGTACTACAAAATCATTTTAGCATACAGATCTAGTACATGTTTTCTTAGATTAATAACTCAGTATTTTCATTTTTGAATTATTTTCAGTGGTATTTTTAAAAATTTTCACTTTACAATTATACATTGGTAATATATAGAAATTGGATTTATTTTATTGGTTGACCTTGTATCCTATGACCTTATTATGCTTACTTGTTAGTTCTGGGTGTAATACTAAGATTCGAGCACAGATATTGGTCTGTTGGGCACAGATCTAAAGAGGACATGTAGCACTGTCGTCCTCTGCATAGCAGAAAGGTCCTCCACACAATGAAAAGACAAACGAGAGAGCTCTTCTTTTGAGCGGCAGTGAGCCATTTCTGTGGCCTCAGAGAATTTAAGATAATCTAGAGGTTCAAAATTCTCAAATGCATTTACACAAGTATCACTCTCCCATATGCCAGATTCTAACTCCTTCCCTTTTAGGAGCCTGATTTTGTCACAGGGCACTTGCCAAGGATAAGAATCCATTCAAAATTTTTGAAATTCTGCTACTCTGGCAATTAAATCTTGAGTCTGATCTGTAGCTTGGTTAACTCAGAGGTAGCAGAAGATGGGAGTTTTTTTAAACACTGCTGAGGGGTTGAACTCTAACTTACACATTGCTTTGAATTGGCTACTTAATTGACCTGAACCTGTTGCTTTTTCTCTTCAAACCATCACTGGCACTCAACAATGGCCACCCAATTTCAGGATTCTTATTACTATTATCTCTTAAATGCCAGAGTTATTGCAAAAGAAAAACGAAGTTGAAGGACTTACTCTACCCAATTTGAAAACATGCTATAAAACTACAGTGATCAATATAGTGAAGTACTGATTAGAGTATTGGTATAAAGATCAAAAGAATAGAACTGAGAGTGCAGAAATAAACACTTAAGTTTATGGTCAATTGATGTTTGATAAAAAGACCAAGGTACTTCAGTGGAAGAAAAGATAGATTTTTCAACAAATAGTGCTAGGAAATTAGGGTATCTACATGCAAAAAAATATTATAAATTGGAGTTGATCAAAATTAAAAACTTTTCACTTCAAAAGACACCATTAAAAAATGAAGACAATCCATAGACAAGGAGAGAGTACTTGAAAATTATGTATATGCTAAAAAACTCATATCCAGAATATATAAACTCTTATAACTCAATAATAAGACAAACTACCTAATAATAAATGAGTAAAAGGTTTAAACAAACATTTCATCAAAGAATATATATAAATAGGTATATGAAAATATGCTAAACAAAATGCTAAGGTCATTAGGGAAATTCAAATTAGAACCACAATGAGATGCCACTTTATACTCACCAGAATAGCCAAAATAATAATTTAAAAAAGCAACAAATGTTTATGATATTTTAGAGATACTGGGACTTTCACATATTGCTGTTAGGCATTTAAATTGTATACTCACTTTGTA